TGATCAGTCCAAGTGACCCATGCAAACTTGAGCAGAAATGCCCACATATATAAGCTGACGTGGTAGCCCCTCTCTGTTCAGAATGGAGAGGTGGGCAGTAACCTCCAGTCGTGCATTGTCCCTGCTACAGCCAACCCAGGTTTTGAGCCCTTCGTCAGAGTCATTCTCACAAGGATGACTGAGTTATTGATCCTTTTGGGATGGATTGGTTTAAGAGAAACAGATGCTGTTTCCCTTTGCAGGCTGTTTCTTGAGAGTGGAATTTGTTGCAGGAAATATTTCTCTGTTTTCCTGTTTCATCTATTTAGGCAATTTGTGTCTATGTAAACCTATGTGAATTTGGTTATTTTCTTGAATGGTTGCTAGCTATTATGTAAAAGCATTAGCCATTAATTTCCCAATGTCTTTGACAACCTAATTAGAGTTTTATTCCAAATGTGGACTAGTACATGACCATTGCATACCTGGCATACTGTATTAGATTGTAAATAATACCATTTTCCAGTAATTGCTGTTACTTTTCAAAGCCTTTACATCAAGACAGAACACAGTAATTGTTAATGTATGCAGTTTTAAGATACATAAAGTAGAATGTTCTGATGTTCAAAGACATTTCTGTATAGTGTACTTCATGTAATTTTTATTATGGAAGATACTATAAAAATTCCTGTTGCTGTCAAATTAGATGTTTTAGACAAGCCAAAGTCATTAAAACAACAACAACAAAAACAAACAAGCAAAAACTTTGGAGACTGATAGGTGTGCTTATTATATTCAAAAATATCCATAAGCTACCAGGAAAAAAAAAAAGTGAATACTATTAGGTTAACTAAGGGGTTGAAGGAATGTGACAGACTGTGACATTGCACAGTCATAATCTCATCACCTCTGAAAAAATATAGTTGAATGGCAAAAAGCTCAGATAAGCAGCATACGTATGTTCAAAAGTGAAAGGTATAATTTTAATCTGAGCAATGACTGAAAATACATACTAAAACTATTCTATTGGATAAGAAAAATTGAGGGGGATGTGATAGAAATCAATAAAATCGTGAGGAGATGACAGCTTTAGGGAATGATGGTATCTTCCAATAAAATGATTAGGATCATTGAAAGACTATAAGAGATTTTTCAGAACAAACAACAGGAGGTGGTTACTTTCACAGTAGTAACTTAATGTGTGAAATTTCTGCCAGAAGATATTACTGCCAAAGTCTGTGAAAAATCTGAAGAGGATGAAAAGTCTACTGGGGTTCAAAAAGCAGATGGACAGACTTGGACAAAAGAAAAAGGTTAAGGAGTATTAAGTACAGAAAGATCATCTCTGACTACAGAAGACCCTGAGCTGCAAATCAGTCTTATAAGGTCAGCCTGTTTCATGGAATCAGATGTAGGCTCATACATAAGATATTAAGAAATAAAGAAATGTAAGAAATTAATTTATAATTAATTTATCAGCAATGAGTGAGAGTTTTTCTTTTCCTTAGAGCACAGTAACTGAAAATTTAGAATCCAAACATACTTTCTCCTTCAGAGCTTGCCAGCATTAAGAAACACTGATGCAGTGCACATCTAAACATAATTTTAACTGCATTAAAATGCAACATGTTCTAAGTAACTAATGATTTATTCATTATTTAGTTTAACCTTCTGTAGCATTCATCTGAATTAACTTGCTTGGACAAGAATACGGCTTAAAAATAATAATTAAATCTTGATTAACATTTCTGATCATAGTAAACTCATGGAACTATAGTATGCTGCTTGGATAATAGCTTTTTTGGTGGTTAATGTTTGCCCTTCATTTCTAATCAGACTTGTGGTTCAATCATTGCAACAATCATTGTAATACATTTCCTTTTCTTATTTAGATAGTTACAAATTGCAGTAATGTAATCCCTACAACCTATTTGGCTTCAAAAACAGTAAATAAATCCTGGATATACTTCACTAGAGAGCAGGTTTTTTAATGTTGTAGTCATTTTGATGTTTCTCTGTCATTCTCTCCAATTTAACATCCTGATTTGTGAAGGGTAGTTGCCAGATTCAGGAAACACAGGAAATTTAAATTTCTTATTCACTTGATGTTTCCATGGATTTTTTATGAAGAAACACATTATCTTTATAGATGCAGTTTGCTCCTGAGGGCTTTTTCCACATCATTTCTGAGATCTTTTCAGAGCTGCTGCTGTTATATCTTCTATATATGGCAAATGTTCACTATTTAAAGTGTATGTCTTTATGTATTTTATTGTGAATTTCGCTAGTGATCATGGTTGTTTCTGTTTTTAACCTGTCTGGGATTTCTCTAGAAATATATCTGTTCAATGAAGATTATCATAACTCTCTTACCATTGCATACTGAGACATGTCCTCTGAAATATTCTAATTCACTTCATCTGTTGCATGTTGGTCTTTTTTTGTATTCTGGTGGTATCAAATGTCATGAATTGCCAAATCAAATGTCTCATAGAATCTTGCATCATCAGAACTAGTACTTTCAGCAACTGAACTTCTAATATCATCTAAAAAACCATTGAGTTAATTTGATAAGATTTTCTATGAATTACAGTTGATGTTCATTATTATATTTCAACCTCTATTAATCAAGGCTTGTATTAAATTGAATTACATGAAGAAAGGGGTCAAGTTTTGCATATTGAAGAAAGATGGTCAAGTATTTTTGAGCCCTGTGGAATCTATTAATTTCTGATTGGTTGCTGCCCTAGCACATAATTATTGTCCTCCCTGGGTAGCAACATTTCACTGCATATTGATGTTATTTCTGTATTTTTTTTTATGTTTTGCAAAACTCTGGGGGAAAAAGGCCATTGAAAAGTTGAGAAGTCATTGAATGTGAACACTGTTTGAAAATAAACCTGTGGCTTTCTTTGTTCTTGCATTTAGGTTGAATCTAGACGTGAGAAATGGCTCTGTCTTTACAGCACTGCCAAATGTTTTGGCACTCAGCATATTGTAGAATGAGCAGAGTTTTACAGTAAAGTGAATTAGTACAATTGCAACAAACTCAGTTTTTCTGCAGCAAAGAAAACATTCCACAGTAGAACAGCATGCAATCATGTGAAATGCTAGCAGTATAACTGACTTTTAATGCCGTGAATGCAAACGTCAAATACCACACAGGGACTGTGCGGTACCACATAGGGAACTGGTGTGGTGCTTGTCAGGCATAGATTAAAACTCCATTTTGTGATACGCTGTCATGGGAAAATGTGACTAGACTTAATAGGAAACAGAATATTTGTTGTTTATTCTCCATATATGTGCATAACAGTTTATTTTTGCCATCAAGCAGTTCCATTCTTGAGTGCTGTAATTAGATAACATGCTTGATAGTTAACAACATTGTTGGTTTAAGTTCCAGCTCTCTTGTTTCAGGTTGTTTGGTGACTCAGGGAAATATTCCATCTGTGTGAAGTCTGAAAGTCATCTTTGCATTTAATAATAAAGGAAAAATATATGAGAAAAAAAAAAAAGAAGACTTTTTGTTAATGATAGCTACCATTTCAGAAAAGAAACATATAATTTAGCTATTTAAATCCACTTCTAGCAGTTGATGCATGAGCTTTATTTCAAATATATGAAAGCTATTCATTTTTTGAGTAATTATGAGTGGACTGACTAGCTCTCAAATATTTTCATTAAAAATTATCACTGTTTTGCAGAACAGAAATATTTTCTAATGTGTTGGTGAACTCTTTTTGTTCTTCCTCTTTGTTTTTTCAAAAATGTATTTTAGAGCACAACAATTATGTTTATAAACACATGCCTTACTCCTGTCCTGGCCCCTGAGAGTACTCCAGAGTATGTCAGGTTCATTATTTGAAACTGACTTCTAGTGAGAACATTGCACAAAAGCAAAATCAGTGCCCTTTACAAGGGTGGTAGTTTACCCTGCATCTTTTACCCTGAAGGCTAGCATGAATTAATGGCAACTTAAAAAAACATTAAACTGAGGCAAAGATCAATAATAACCACAGCACTGCTATATAACGAAAGGATTTTTGGGTTTTTTTTGAGGGAACTTCTGCATGTTTTATTCTTAACAAGAAATTCCACCAATTAGAGAATACCTCATGCTAAGGTCAAATAACCTGTGTTAGGTAATCCCAAAGACTTTCAGGCTTTGAACATTCAGTCTTTGCACTGCAAGTAGTGTTCATGAAAAGTAAGATTCTCAGTGAGACAATTGTATAATTTGCTCCATGACATAAACACAGGAAAGACACTGTCATTATGCTTTGTTATCTACCTCCATGATTATTCTTGTATTTGTCTTCCAGTATTGCTGTAAAGCATGTCCTCATTTTGTATCCATTCTTTTTAGTGGTGTTTAAACATACACACAAAGAGGGCAGCTTCTTCCTTCAGATGCTGTAATCCAATATAAATGCAATCAAGTGACTCATCAATGAGTTCCAACTGTGCTGTAATCTGCATTTGCTTGTTAATTTATTTGAAATACTGTATTGGCCTCTCTTTAACCCAGATGCAGCACTTGCAATAGACTGAATGTTCCAGAGCCTGTAAAAATATATTTCAACAGAAAACTGGTCTGGGATTAGCTGATTAGAGCTATCGTTGCATTTATAGGAGCTGTTTTCCCATTTGCCTGGATCTTGTCCCAGGAAACCTAGGAGTGGAGCAGGTTGCTGCTCCTTCCTGCAGTGCAGTTGGCTTTGCAGGCCAAGAGCCCCAGGCCTGGTAAGGGAGCTGCTGTGCTGCACCTTGCCCTGCTCTGGAGTCACGATGCACCACTGGGAAGTGGTGATAGCTGTGTGGGATGGAGCTGCACTGCACCTAAATTAAAACAAACAAACAAAACAATCAAGCAGAAAATGCAGAGAGAGCAAATGTCTGTTTTATTGCTTTTTATTTTGGGTTATCCAGCTCAAACGTCTTAATTTGATTATCAAAATAATTTTGCTACACTTGCAAAACTGGGGTATGTTTACTCTGTCTCCTATTTATTCTTTCAGGATTTGTGGATTTAACACTCCATGATCAGGTCCATCTACTGGAATGTGCCTGGTTAGAGATACTGATGATTGGCTTAGTCTGGCGCTCCATGGAACATCCGGGAAAGCTTTTATTTGCACCTAACCTATTACTGGACAGGTCAGTTTGTGTCTTGTTGTTAATTATTTAAATTAATATTTTTCTACTGCAACTGCAGCATTTAGTCATCTTGCTAATATTTCAGCTTGACATTCTATTGTAACTTAAGAAGGATTAACATAGTTGGAACTAGAAAACGTTCTCTTAAACTCCAGATATGCTCTAGCATGTTTTTCCAGTAATGTAGTAGATGTGGAAACCTTCTGAAAGTCACCTGATGCTGAAAGTACTTTGTTTCAAAGGCAGCAGAGAACTCCTTTTCTAATGTATACTGTTTGTTACAAGACTAAGAAAGATAAACTCCTGAATCCTAATCACTTTATTTCAAACAATTATTTCTGCTTACCTAAATCCTCTCATGTAGACTAAGTTTAAATTGGTTGATCCAAGCAGGCAGCCCAAATTACAGGACAAAATCCCAATGGAGTCTAGGCAGAGTTCTGTTCATTTGCAGAGAAGACATAAGGTTCTCTTTTCCTGAATGTTGTAGTCAAATGTACAAAACTTACCTCTTTGCTGTCCGAAGACTTTTCTAGCATGCCTTTCTAAGCAGCTGTAGGTGTTTGTAAGTGAGAGATGAAAAAACAGAGGTGTCTGTCATATAATAATATCTTGGATTTTAGCTGGCAGTCTTTTCATGAAGAAAAGTGGGAAGATTGATAGGCTTTAAAACATGTTCTAGCCATCTGAATGCATACACAAGTGCTTTTTTTTTTTTCCAAGTCATGAAAAAAATGCAGCCTTGAGACAAAGTGTAAAAAGAGAATAAAAAGTGAATGAAGTGATCAACAAAAGACTGTGGCAAGCAGCAAAGTTGCAGTTGTCCACGCTACTGGTATCACTCTGTGGAAAGTTACTACCCACATAACAGAGTTGGCAGGAGGGAGCTTCAGTGTAGGTGTTCATCACTTCCATGCAGGGGGCATCTTGGTGAAAACTGGATCAAGGAATAGCAGAGCTAAAGCACTAGAATATGTGGTGAACCAGCAAAGACCTGGATGTGCACCCTGCTCTATCTGTCCTGCCTCCAGAGGGACAGGAAACCATAGCAGAGTTTGGGAACATAGTCATAGTTAGTGCCTTCAACTCCTCCAGACGTTTCTTAGGCTAAGGAGACAAAACTCTTACTAGCAGAAGAACCAATTCTATTCACTGCTTCATTAAGCTCCAGAAAGGTATGACAAAATGTCTAATGGATTACTAACAACGTTCTGTTGTTACGCATTTTGAGAAGCTCTACTCTGTTAACTGTAGGAAACTGAGCTTTCATTTCTGTGTACGTGCAATGTTAAACCTCTGATTTATTTTATCTATTGCAAAAAAAAAAAAAAACACCTTACACTTTGTATTTTAATGAAATATAAATGTTAATGCCCAACAGTATAATATGTAATATCTCAAAGGGATAAAAAGTAGATATAATAATTGCCTTGGTAAAACACTCTTCTGTCTGTGGAAGCACATGGTCTGTGTGCCTTGGAACAAGATATGTACAAAACACAGTTTGTGCACTGAAAAATACTTGCAGTTATGGGGTTCTTAGGAAAAAAAGCTCATGAAAACACTGTTTTAAAATAATTTCTTAGTTTCTTGAGAAGTAAAATTTACTCTTGTAGGAAAGAAAAAACAATATATTTTTGAAAAATGGACTATAAATTTTAATGTAGCTTCTGAAGACCCAACCATTCCACATTTCATAGTTCAGATAATAAAAAAAAAAAGAAAACTGGTGAGCAGAAGCAGAGGGATGTTTATTGTCCTGTTAGCTAAGGGAAGGAACTGGGGAAAAGATATGAAACTTAATCCTCAAAAAGTAAAAATTTCTGTACTCTGAGTAAAATGAACTAGGAGTAGATGATTTGTGCAGTTACTGCCAATTCTGATTATGGAAAACAGCTGCATACAATTGGAACTACACATTACTTTAGAGGTGAAAAATCAATTGATAACTAATTTTCTGCCTTCTGACTTTCAAACAAGATTGTTTGTAAATATGTGCACTATGTTCTCATTTTCAAATAGCATAATACATTCTGTGTTTCTAAGGCATCATATATTTGCTTCCCCCTACTTGGTGGGGATACGTAGAAATCTACGCAGAAATGGAAACACTGAAAGTACTTAACTTTGAGGAGAACTGATATGTTAATTAAGTACTGATGTACTAATTAGTTCTAACGCTATGTGTTAGGAATGTGCTGCCTTTGTTTAGGAATCTTTTCTTTTGAGAATGTTATAGACCAAAAACATATTCTTTGTCAAAGAGACTGAACATAGCATCATTGAAAGTGTGTTTAAGTCAATGCATTCCTTCCACTGAATCAAGTACCCAGACAGTTACTTCAAGGATATAAAAACTGTTGAATGTGTTACTGTGGTCAATTTAAATAATGAAATCATCCCATTTAATGGTTAAAATAATGGAAAAGAGGGATGCAGTAATATAGTTTTCTGTCGTCTGTGCTTCTGCCCCTAACTTTCAGTGAGTTTATTACAGAGTACTCCTTTTCACTGTTTTCATCTTGCTATGAGGAACCATGGCATTCTGTCCTAAATCCCCATTGCTCTTTTCCTCTTACTTAATGTGTGTGGGGATTTGCAAATATAAATTTATCTGCTATCTCGAATGTAGACTCACCAGCTACAGAAACTGATCTGTCTCTAACCTGTGTTTTTCTGGAGCTTAGTTCAAGTTCAATGTTGTTAATATGGAGCTCTTTGCCACACTGTGCTTACTACTCTACCTCTGTCTGATTATTCCTTGCCAAACATCTCTAGTTTATAGATTTCTTACATTTTTTTAATATTCAGAGTTATCTTACATTTGACAGTTTCTTTCTGTCTTAGGTCTCAGAGATATAATCGTTGGTATCCGTCTGTATATAAAGCTCAGATCATTTCAAGTTATGTTAGTGCAACTTCTTTCCATTTTGCCTAGAAAAATACAATGCTGTCTTTTTCATACCTATCTGAAAAGCATTTAAAATAATATCCCTACTCTGCCATTTTTTTGAGCAACTCTAAATTTTGTTCTCAGAGTTTATTCTTCCTGTTGTCTGACATTAAACATCAGTTTGTATTCTCTTCAAAGATCTCTTAGAGACTGACTCTACCCATTTTGTGAGACACTACTTGTTAAATTTTCAAATAAATTCCTCTGTGATTTTTCCATATAGCCATTCACACCTGGAAGACTCCTTAAAAATATCTGCAAAGCAGTACTTCGTGATTTGCTTTGAATTCCTTCTTAAAACTTTTCTTTGCCTATTTAAGAAAAAGAAACACAGAAAAAAAACCAAAAACAGAACAATTAAGCTGTCAATATGTTGAGACCTCTGCCCATTGTATGGATGAATATCATCTCATTATCCCTTTTTATTCCTGCTCTGCCTTGTAATTAGGTAGGGTGTTCTGTGGGGTAACACATGTTTTCTTATTCTGTTAATGCGGTACCTAAGCACTTGAGTCTTGGTTCAAGATTGGGACCTTTAGCAGTCTGCCTATCACACATAAAACTAGTGCATTTTACAGTGTACAATCGATGCTATTAAAAAAGCTGAACTGACAATAATTACAGATTAGAAAAAATAGACCTAATCAGCAAAGACAGAAACTCAAAGAGTTTTCAGTTAATGTGCAGTACTTGATGCAATAAAAAAAAATAAGCAATATGTTTATATACTCTTTTTAAAAATTAATAACTCATATGAGACAAATCTAGAAGTAAAGACATAGATTTTCAATGGAATGAACCAGATGTTTCCAATCTGGAGGACTCCCAAGAAACTAGATCTTAAAAATGACATGAGACCAGGACTGAAGTTTTCAGGACTGACAATAAGCTGTTTATAATTTTGAGAAAAAAATGTAGTGTTTCTTTAGGAATAAGAAAGAGACATATGTCATCATTTTTTTAAAAAAAATTTTTTTTGCATTGAAATATCAGTCTTATCTGTGGTTACCTAGTGGTTTGGAGTGTCACTTTAAAATATCTTACAAACCAGATGGTATTCACACCGATATTGTAAGGAAACTCCTGGTTGAAATAGCCAAATTGCTAACTGAAGTGGATGACTTCACCTAAGGATCAGCATAATGAAAAATAGAATGCTTCTTTTTAAAAAAGTTTGGTGAATTTTCACACAGATAAGCCTGATGTCCACACTAGGAGAACTGATGAATACAGTGTAATAAAGAGAATTAGTGGATGCGTGGATAAATATGGCATATTCTTAAAATGTCACCATGTGTTTTGTAAAGGGAAATCATGTGTCTAAAATTATAAGAGTTCTCTAGAAAAATGAACATGCAAATGGACAAGGCAGATCTCATTTCATTTTCAAAAGCACTAGACAAGTCTGATAATGAAAGGTTCTTAAAGAAATTAAGGTACCATGGGATAAGATCATCAGATCATCAAATAGATTCAATAAATTGTTAAAAGAAAAGAGAGGAGTAAATGATCAATTTTCTCAGATAAACTGTATTTGGAATCCATATAGTGATCTGTGCTATTCAATCAATATATACTTGATCCGGAAAAAAAGGTGGGTAAATCAAATAAAGTTTGCCAATGGCTGTAAGTTATCAAATTAAAACAGATGAAAGCTGCAAAAAGACCTTGACAATATTGAAGGTGAATTTACACATCGGAAGAAAATATGAATATAAACTGGATCCTTAGCTGCTTGTTCCACCTGGAACAGGATCTCACTGTTAAAGTGACTAAAAATAGCCTATGTCTCCATTCTCAGGAATAATTATGGCAGGAAAAAGAAATACTACGTATCATCATTATACCACCATGTAAATCTATATTGCCTCAGTAATTTGAAAACTGTGCCCTTCTGATTTTTCCCGCTTTCAACAGGAATTCTGTAAAACTGTGTTAGGTATCCCGAAGGGTAACATAGCTGTTCAATGACAAAGCTGAGCTTGCATACAACGAATAACTGTTTAGATTGACTATTCTACCTCTGAAACTAAATGGTGGAAGGAGA